TCACTCCTAGACTATGACATCACTGCTAGACTATGACATAACTGCTAGACTACGACATCATTGCTAGACTACGACATCACTGCTAGACTATGACATCACTGCTAGACTATGACAGCACTGCTAGAATACGACAGGACTGCTAGACTACGACATCACTGCTAGACTATGACATCACTGCTAGACTACGACATCACTGGTAGACTACGACAGCGCTGCTAGACTATGACAGCACTGCTAGTCTATGACATCACTGCTAGACTATGACATCAGTGCTAGACTATGACAGCACTGCGAGACTTACGACATCACTGCTAGACTATGACATCACTGCGAGACTATGACAGCACTGCTAGACAATGACATCACTGCTAGACTATGACATCACTGCGAGACTTACGACATCACTGCTAGACTATGACATCACTGCTAGACTATGACAGCGCTGCTAGACTATGACAGCGCTGCTAGACTATGACAGCGCTGCTAACTACAACATCACTGCTAGACTATGACATCATTTCTAGACTATGACAGCACAGCTACACTATGACATCACTGCTAGACTATGACATCACTGCGAGACTATGACAGCACTGCTAGACAATGATATAACTGCTAGACTATGACATCACTGCGAGACTTATGACATCACTGCTAGACTATGACATCACTGCTAGACTATTACAGCGCTGCTAGACTATGACAGCGCTGTTAGACTACGACATCACTGCTAGACTACGACATCACAGCTAGACTACAACATCACTGCTAGTCTACGACATCACTGCTACGACATCACTGCTAGAATACGAAAGCACTGCTAGACTACGACATCACTGCTAGACTACGACATCACTGCGACAATACATCACCGCTAGACTACGACAGCGCTGCTAGACTATGACAGCACTGCAAGACTATGACATAACTGCTAGACTACGACATCACTGCTAGACGACTACATCACTGCTAGACTATGACAGTACTGCTACAAATACGACAGCACTGCTAGACTATGACATCACTGCTAGACTATGACAGCACTGCAAGACTAACGACATCACTGCTAGACTTTGACAGCACTGCTAGACTATGACAGCGCTGCTAGACTACAACATCACTGCTAGACTATGACATCACTGCTAGACTATGACATCACGGCTAGACTATGACAGCACTGCTAGACTATGACATCACTCCTAGACTATGACATCACTGCTAGACGACTACATCACTGCTAGACTATGACAGTACTGCTAGAATACGACAGCACTGCTAGACTATGACATGACTGCTAGACTATGACAGCACTGCGAGACATACGACATCACTGCTAGACTATGACATCACTGCTAGACTATGCTAGCGCTGCTAGACTATGACAGCGCTGCTAGACTATGACAGCACTGCTAGACTATGACATCACTCCTTAACTATGACATCAATGCTAGACTATGACATAACTGCTAGACTACGACATCACTGCGAGACTACGACATCACTGCTAGAATATGACAGTACTGCTAGAATACGAAAGGACTGCTAGACTATGACATCACTGCTAACCTATGACATCAGTGCTAGAATACGACAGGACTGCTAGACTATGACATCACTGCTAGACTATGACAGCGCTGCTAGACTACGACATCACTGCGAGACTACGACGTCACTTCTAGACTATGACATCACTGCCAGACGACGACATCACTGCTAGACTATGACATCACAGCTAGACTACGACACCACTGCTAGATTACGACATCACTGCTAGACTACGACATCACTGCTAGACTACGACATCACTGCTAGGCTATGACATTACTGCTAGACTATGACAGCACTGCTAGACTATGACAGCACTGCTAGACTATGACATCACTGCTAGACTATGACATCACTGCTAGAATACGACAAAACTGCTAGACTATGACATCAGTGCTAGACTATGACATCACTGCTAGACTATGACAGCACTGTGAGACTTAAGACATGACTGCTAGACTATGACAGCGCTGCTAGACTATGACAGCGCTGCTAGACTACAACATCACTCCTAGACTATGACATCACGGCTAGACTATGACAGCACTGCTAGACTATGCCATCACTCCTAGACTATGACATCACTGCTAGACTATGACATAACTGCTAGACTACGACATCATTGCTAGACTACGACATCACTGCTAGACTATGACATCACTGCTAGACTATGACAGCACTGCTAGAATACGACAGGACTGCTAGACTATGACATCACTGGTAGACTATGACATCACTGCTAGACTACGACATCACTGCTAGACTACGACATCACTGCTAGACTATGACATCACTGGTAGACTACGACAGCGCTGCTAGACTATGACAGCACTGCGAGACTTACGACATCACTGCTAGACTATGACATCACTGCGAGACTATGACAGCGCTGCTGGACTATGACAGCACTGCTAGACTATGACATCACTGCGAGACTTACGACATCACTGCTAGACTATGACATCACTGCTAGACTATGACAGCGCTGCTGGACTATGACAGCACTGCTAGACTATGACAGCGCTGCTAACTACAACATCACTGCTAGACTATGACATCATTTCTAGACTATGACAGCACTGCTAGACTATGACATCACTGCTAGACTATGACATCACTGCGAGACTATGACAGCACTGCTAGACAATGATATCACTGCTAGACTATGACATCACTGCGAGACTTACGACATCACTGCTAGACTATGACATCACTGCTAGACTATTACAGCGCTGGTAGACTATGACAGCGCTGTTAGACTACGACATCACTGCTAGACTACGACATCACAGCTAGACTACAACATCACTGCTAGACTACGACATCACTGCTACAATACGACATCAAAGCTAGACTACGACAGCGCTGCTAGACTATGACAGCACTGCAAGACTATGACATCACTGCTAGACTATGAAATCAGTGCTAGACTATGACAGCACTGCGAGACTTACGACATCACTGCTAGACTATGACATCATTGCTAGACTATGACAGCGCTGCTAGACTATGACAGCGCTGCTAGACTATAACATCACTGCTAGACTATGACATCACTGCTAGACTATGACATCACGGCTAGACTATGACAGCACTGCTAGACTATGACATCACTCCTAGACTATGACATCACTGCTAGACTATGACATAACTGCTAGACTACGACATCACTGCTAGACGACGACATCACTGCTAGACTATGACAGCATTGCTAGAATACGACAGCACTGCTAGAATACGACATCACTGCTAGACTATGACATCACTGCTAGACTATGACATCACTGCTAGACTATGACATCACTGCTAGACTATGACATCACTGCTAGACTATGACAGCGCTGCTAGACTATGACATCGCTGCTAGACTACGACATCACTGCTAGACTACGACATCACTGCTAGACTATGACAGCACTGCTAGAGTACGGCATGACTGTAAGACTACGACATCACTGCTAGACTATGACATCACTGCTAGACTATGACAGCACTGCTATAATATGACATCACTGCTAGACTACGACATCACTGCTAGACTATGACATCACTGCTACAATACGACATCACCGCTAGACTACGACAGCGCTGCTAGACTATGACAGCACTGCTAGACTATGACATCATTGCTAGACTATGAAATCAGTGCTAGACTATGACAGCACTGCGAGACTTACGACATCACGGCTAGGCTATGAAATCACTGCTAGACTATGACAGCGCTGCTAGACTATGACAGCGCTGCTAGACTACAACATCACTGCTAGACTATGACATCACTGCTAGACTATGACATCACTGCTAGACTATGACAGCGCTGTAGACTATGACATCACTGCTAGACTACGACATCGCTGCTAGACTATGACATCACTGCTAGACTACGACATTACGGCTAGACTATGACAGCACTCCTAGACTATGACATCACTGCTAGACTATGACATCACTGCTAGACTATGACATCACTGCAAAACTATGACAGCGCTGCTAGTCTACAACATCGCTGCTAGACTACGACATCACTGCTAGACTACGACATCACTGCTAGACTATGACAGCACTTCTAGAGTACGACATCACTGCAAGACTACGACATCACTGCTAGACTATGACATCACTGCTAGACTATGACAGCACTGCTAGAATATGACATCACTGCTAGACTACGACATCACTGATAGACTATGACATCACTGCGAGACTATGACAGCACTGCTAGACAATGACATCACTGCTAGACTATGACATCACTGCGAGACTTACGACATCACTGCTAGACTATGACATCACTGCTAGACTATTACACCGCTGCTAGACTATGACAGCGCTGTTAGACTACGACATCACTGCTAGACTACGACATCACAGCTAGACTACAACATCACTGCTAGACTACGACATCACTGCTACGACATCACTGCTAGACTACGACATCACTGCTACAATACGACATCAAAGCTAGACTACGACAGCGCTGCTAGACTATGACAGCACTGCAAGACTATGACATCACTGCTAGACTATGAAATCAGTGCTAGACTATGACAGCACTGCGAGACTTACGACATCGCTGCTAGACTATGACATCATTGCTAGACTATGACAGCGCTGCTAGACTATGACAGCGCTGCTAGACTATGACATCACGACTAGACTATGACATCACTGCTAGACTATGACATCACTCCTAGACTATGACATCACTGCTAGACTATGACATCACTGCTAGACTACGACATCACTGCTAGACGATGACATCACTGCTAGACTATGACAGCATTGCTAGAATACGACAGCACTGCTAGACTATGACATCACTGCTAGACTATGACAGCACTGCGAGACTTACGACATCACTGCTAGACTATGACATCACTGCTAGACTATGACAGCGCTGCTAGACTATGACAGCACTGCTAGACTATGACAGCACTGCTAGACTATGACATCACTTCTAGACTATGACATCACTGCTAGACTATGACATAACTGCTAGACTACGACATCACTGCTAGACTACGACATCACTGCTAGACTATGACATCAATGCTAGAATATGACAGCACTGCTAGAATACGAAAGGACTGCTAGAATATGACATCACTGCTAGACTATGACATCACTGCTAGAATACGACAGGACTGCTAGACTCTGACATCACTGCTAGACTATGACAGCACTGCTAGACTATGACATCACTTTAAAGCTTTCGTGACTGCAAGGATTCATCTTCTTTGGTTCTTTCGGTAAAGTCACGTAGAACGAGAATAAAAAAATCAATTGATAAAATAAAATAACACAATAGAATATCATGATTATCTTCTTTGGTTCTTTCGGTAAAATCACAAGATCTCCAAAATCCTGAATAAACACAAGATCCAGGTCCGATTCAACACAGTACATAAAATCCGTGATTTAGTTCCATCTGTAAAAGATGCTGTTCCAGACATACAGTACCCGGGCGTTTACAAACTAAAGTGCCTCTGTGGTAGTAGCTACATTGGAGAAACCAAAAGACATATCTCGGACCGCATCCGCGAACATAAAGCAGACTTGAAACACGGTAGGACGAACTCCTCTGCCGTGGCAGATCACTGTTATAATTCAGTGGGCTCACATGACATTGACTTCTCCAAGACGGAGGTTCTTTGCAAACCAACCGGCTACCATGAGAGATTCGTTCATGAGGCCATTCACATATACAAGCACAGAGACAATTTCAACCGAGAAGATGGATTCTGGCTTAGTAACCACTGGAAAGATGTTTAAAATCATTTCTGTTCTAAATTAATTGTATTTTTACGATGACCTTCAGACCACAGCTCCTTCGCCAGCATTGACTCTTAATACCTCTCACACCACGGTTAATGGTATGGTTTTACAACATGGAGTATAATAGCGCCTCGCAGCTGTCTCTCTCTCCCTCCTCTGTTCCGACCATGGACGAACTCGTCCGTCTGAACGGGGCCCGTAGCTATCCGTGGTGCTAAAGTTGAGGGTAAGAATCCACCCATTTTTTCGCCATATAGCATTGTGATATATAACGACTTATTGTTGGTAGCTTAGCTGATTGGAGAATATAGAGTTTATTGATAACATTAAGGTAATTTATATTTTAGTTTTTTTTATTGGTTCACTATATAGTACTGTGAATAGCTCAGATGTGTAGGCCTTGACTTCAACATAGTCATTTCTGTGACCAGTCACTAGCTAATCACTCAGTTATTTCAATGCTAAATTCGCCTAGTTATTTCAATGCTAAATTCTCCTGTTTGATTTGTACTAAGTGCCTCGGTGAATGTGTATGCTCTGACTTTAACGTAGCTATTTCTGTGAGCAGTTACAAGCTAATCACTCAGCTATTTCAATGCTAAATTCTATGCTAATTCCATTGTCAAGGGGTGCCTCTGCGGATATGTATGCTTTAACTTAGCTATTTCAATGCTAAATTCTATGCTAATTCCTTTATCAAGGGGTGCCTCTGCGGATGTGTATGCTTTAACTTTTAACATAGCTATTTCTGTGACCAGTCACAAGCTAATCATTCAGCCATTTCAGTGCTAAATGATATGCTAATTCCTTTGTCAAGGCGCTTTGTTCCTCTCACACAGCTTAAAGGCCGTGATCTGAACGTGGCTCTTTCACTCCAGCGCTGTCCTACCAGACAGTCTCGTCCCTTCACCTGATGAAGGCCGCTTGTGTTGTGGCCGAAACGTCGTGAGAATATTATTGTGTTATTTTATTTTATCAATTTATTATTGTATTCTCATTCTACGTGACTTTACCGAAAGAACCAAAGAAGATGAATCATTGCAGTCACGAAAGCTTTAAATCGAAACATTGAAAATTAGTTTAATGTTTGGTTCGATTTAGAACATCCTTCCAATGGTTGCTTAATTTGAAACCATCTTCTCGGTTGAAATTGTGTCTGTGTTTGTAGATCTGAATTGCCTCGTGAACAAATCTCTGATAAAAACCCGTGGGTTTGCAAAGAACCTTGGTATCGGAGAAAATTATATCGTGATCATCCACAGCGTTGTAACAGTGATCAGCTACGGCAGAAGAATTCGTTCTGCCATGTTTCAAATCTGATTTGTACCATATATAGCAGGCGTTACTAAAAAGATTTCCAAAATTCTAAACAAACACAAGATCCGGGTCCGGTTCAATACAGTACGCAAAATTCGTGATCTGATCCCATCCGTGTCATTCCTGACTTACAGTACCCCGGGGTTTACAAATTGAGTTGTACCTGCGGTGATTGCTATATCGGGGAGACAAAGCGACATGTCTCTGACCGAATTCGCGAGCACAAATCAGATTTGAAACACGGCAGAACGAATTCTTCTGTCGTAGCTGATCACTGTTACAACGCTGTGGGTGATCAAGATATAATTTTCTCCGATACCAAGTTTCTTTGCAAACCCACGGGTTTTTATCAGAGATTTGTTCACGAAACAATTCAGATCTACAAACACAGACACAATTTCAACCGAGAAGATGGTTTCAAATTAAGCAACCATTGGAAAGATGTTCTAAATCGAACCAAACATTAAAAAATTTTCAATGGTACAGTATATTTTTCAAGTAGTGGTACCCCAAACTTTCGCAGCTCTTAAAAATTCCCTTTTCACACCATCAATAGGTAAACTCCCCCTCCCCCCCACGCCAACCGGCATGTTCACCCGCATGTACACCACCTCTACACCGTTCATCATGCTAAGTCGGCCAATCAAATGCTAATTTTTATGCTAATTCCTTTGTCAAGGCACCTTGTTTCCTCGCACACAGCTTAAAGGTCGTGGTCTGAGCGTGGCTGTGTTTCACTCCAGCGCTGTCCTCGAGACAGCCTGGTCCCTTCACCTGATGAAGGCCGCTTGTGTTGTGGCCGAAACGTCGTGATTTTTGTTGTTTTATTTTTTATCTACGTGACTTTACCGAATAGAACCAAAGAGTATGGATCCTTGCAGTCACGAAAGCTTTAAATCTAGAATTGATCAATTCTACGGGGAGGGCTTTCACCTATCTGTTAGAGCTTTTAACAGACAACGGGACAAGAAGTCACAGCTCATCGAGACGCTGACCTTCCTCAAAAGATGCTGCGATCACAAGGTAATACCCATCGCTTTCACACTCACTTCTGCTGCTGTACCTTCTCCGAATTCTAAACAGATTCTGTTTAAGGCCAGCCTACCTTTAATCTCAGAGAGGATAAGGCTACTCCGATTTGAACTCGATACTTTAGACAGGACTCTCCTACAAGCTCATTTAATGTTAACACAAAAAATGTCACCTTCTGATTGGAATCACGTAGAGAACACGACTGCTTCTTCTGCTGATTCACTGTCAGTCAAATGTAAAGCTAACCTGATTTCTAAATTCAACCACCTATCAAAGAAGAACCCAGTTCCACGTATAACAAAACTAGAGGTCAACAAAATCGTAATTAATCAGAGTAGCACCCCGATTTCGGATAATCTGAAAACAGTACTGGCTAGGGGACTGAATTTTGCTGTCACCCCAAAACACATACCACAGGATATCATCTCTCAGGTCGATGTAGCCCTCAATGGCGTAGGACACATCCAAGCAGACGTTGCGAGAGCTGAAATAGCCACTATTTTTAAGAATGCTAAGACACCTATTAGTAACATCAGCAAAAATGAACGCTCTGAACTCGCGAATTTAAAAAACAGAAGTGATATAGTCATCCTCTCAGCCGATAAAGGCAACGCTACTGTAATTATGGATAAAGATTCATACAACAACAAAATACAGAATCTGCTCAACGATGGAAGTTACTCAAAAATTTAAAATGACCCTACCAATAGCCTAGCGATAAAAACCAACAAGATCATCACAAGTTCGACCTCCCTAATCGACCCAACTAAACGTCCCTCCCTAAAACCTACTGCTGCAAGACCCCCTATGGTCTTCCCAAGATTCATAAAGAAGGCACCCCACTACGACCCATCGTATCCATGATCAACTCCCCTACCTATAGACTAGCCCGTTTTCTGTCAGATACCTTGCTGCCTTTCACTGGCAAGACCGCCTCAGCAGTACTTAACTCAGCCCAATTGGTCTCTATGGTCAAAGACGTTGTACTGTCCCCTGACGATATCCTTGTCAGCTTCGATGTGGTCTCTTTGTTCACCAAGGTCCCAGTACCTGATACCATTGAAATAATTGAAAATTTGGTCCAACATGGACTAGACCTTGATACACCTGCACTGGTTAGGCACTGCCTCAACAATACCTACTTTACTTGGAATGGCTCCTTCTACAAACAAAATGAGGGTACCCCCATGGGATCCCCCTTGTCACCAGAGATAGCCAATATTTTCATGGAGAAATTTGAATCAGACGCCATCCAGACTTCCACCCTCAGACCTTCCCTGTGGAAGAGATATGTGGATGACACTTTCGTCATTTGGCCACATGGCCTCCCAGCTCTGAACCTTTTCCTACACCACATCAATTCCAGACATCCCGCCATCAAATTCACCATGGAAGTGGAGAAAGATGGCAAACTATCATTCTTGGATGTTCTGTTTGAGAGGAGACCTGATGGCTCATTGGGGCATTCTGTCTACAGGAAACCCACCCACACAGATTCCTACTTGAAACCTGATTCCCACCACCACCCAGCCCAAAAGAATGATCTCATCAAAACTGTATACCATAGGGCTCATTGCATTTCAGACCAACACCACCTGACCAGTGAATTAAAACATGTACACCTGGCCCTCAAAAGGAATGGATACTCTGACCGTACCATCCGCCAAGCTGTTTCTCCCTCCATACAGAAACAACTACTTGATACTCCGGTCAAAACCATCACACTACCATATATAGCCGGCGTTACTAAAAAGATTTCCAAAATTCTAAACAAACACAAGATCCGGGTCCGGTTCAATACAGTACACAAATTTGTGATCTGATCCCATCCGTGAAGGATGTCATTCCTGACTTACAGTACCCCGGGGTTTACAAATTGAGTTGTACCTGCGGTGATTGCTATATCAGGGAGACAAAGCGACATGTCTCTGACCGAATTCGCGAGCACAAATCAGATTTGAAAAACGGCAGAACGAATTATTCTGCCGTAGCTGATCACTGTTACAACGCTGTGGGTGATCACGATATAATTTTCTCCGATACCAAGGTTCTTTGCAAACCCACGGGTTTTTATCAGATATTTGTTCACGAGGCAATTCAGATCTACAAACAAAGACACAATTTCAACCGAGAAGATGGTTTCAAATTAAGCAACCATTGGAAAGATGTTCTAAATCGAACCAAACATTAAACTAATTTTCAATGGTACAGTATATTTTTCAAGTAGTGGTACCCCAAACTTTCGCAGCTCTTAAAAATTCCCTTTTCACACCGTCAATAGGTAAACTCCCCCTCCCCCCCGCGCCAACCGGCATGTTCACCCGCATGTACACCACCTTTACACCGTTCATCATGCTAAGTCGGCCAATCAAATGCTAATTTTTATGCTAATTCCTTTAACAAGGCACCTTGTTTCCTCGCACACAGCTTAAAGGTCGCGGTCTGAGCGTGGCTGTGTTTCACTCCAGCGCTGTCCTCGAGACAGCCTGGTCCCTTCACCTGATGAAGGCCGCTTGTGTTGTGGCCGAAACGTCGTGATTTTTGTTGTTTTATTTTTTACCTACGTGACTTTACCGAATAGAACCAAAGAGTATGACATCACTGCTAGACTACGACAGCACTGCTAGACTACGACATCACTGCTAGACTATGACATCACTGCTAGACTATGACAGCACTGCTAGACTATGACATCACTGCTAGACTATGACAGCACTGCTAGACTATGACATCACTGCTAGACTATGACAGCACTGCTCGACTATGACATCACTGCTAGACTTTGACAGCACTGCTAGACTATGACATCTAGTGCTAGACTCTGACAGCACTGCTAGACTATGACATCACTGCTAGACTATGACATCACTGCTAGACTACGACAGCACTGCTAGACTATGACATCACTGCTAGACTATGACATCACTGCTAGACTATGACATCACTGCTAGACTATGACATCACTGCTAGAATATGACATCACTGCTAGGCTACAACATCACTGCTAGACTATGACATCACTGCTATTGGGTCTAACCGCACATTCCATGTTTCCAGGATTCAGACTGCATACATTTACCAAACAGGAAGTAACAAATGCATGCCAAATGCAAGGCTTTTCAATCATTGCTCTTAATGGTGATCATGCCATTACGGGTCTGTTAATTTCGATACAAGGCTACAATTGAGAACCACTGGTATATCCAATATTTGTAAATTATTAGTTCATAGGTTTTCTTTTACCAGTGCAGAGGAAATAAATCCTCGGCCAAATTCAAGATCAATCTAAACACTATTACAGCCATCTCCAGTTACACAGAAATTGTCTTAAAAAGAACAGCCCCAGCTGCATTACCCTTTCAAAGTAGACACGTGACCCTTTAAATACATCTTACCTGAAAATAATATGGCATTAGCAGACTTTCCACAATGAGCATTCGAATAGAAAATGATACACAAGAAAGTATAACATGAATTTTAAGTTTGAAGATATCTGCAAGATTCCGTTGAAACATGTGGAAACTCCCACAGGATTTTCTTTTGCAAGAACATTTAAAAAATCCATATCACCAACGGTGCATTAAGAACCATGGGAAACAATGCAAAACTATACATATATAATCCAAACCAATAAAGCAACCAATAATATGGATTATACACTTGGGATACATTATTTGTCTGTCCTCTTTGACACACGGGCCAAGACAGAGGCGTATTGGAAACACGTCGTAAGTCATCCATCAAACTGTAAATGTGATGTTACATGTACACATTCGCTACAAGCAGCACACATCCCTGCGTTGCTACAGAGGCGGGGTGGGGGGTCTCCCTGGGTCGAACTACCAAAAGTAAGTTTGGCATTGTACTTATACAGATACATTGATATATAATCGCTACATTTGTTAAACTTGGAAGAGGACTGGGCATGTGACGGGAAACAAACGGCACATCTTGCGATATTTAGGTGGATTAAAATGAACATCCATTAATAACGGGCAAAATATGCCGAAGATGTACGTTTTTTACATTGAAGATATTGTACAGTGCTGCTCATTACTTACACTAATGTTTCCACTGTTTTACCAGTGGCAGGTGAGATATTGGCACTCGAAATGTATTGCTAGAGAAGGATACTACATCGAAGCTGGACCCAAAGAGTGACCAGCGTAGAAGAAAAAAGGTTTTAAATACAAGAAGACCTGATGATGCAGGCAGTAATGAGAATTAAACTGGTACTATTTGCACACATATGTAGGATGGACATCAACATGAGAATTAACAGTATGTTGTTCGGAAAAATGGGAAGAACCGGAAAGAGATTAAAGACCTCACCGAGGATGGGCTTGACGACGATCGGTGCCAGACAGATGTGGCCCACGACTTGAGCATATTGGCACTACAAGATAGAGGAAAGTGGAAAGAAATTACGAAATGTGCAGTGACCTACGGGGGCTATTTGCCCTTGGATCGTGATGGTGATGATGATGTACCAGTGGCAAATGCTACAAGCAACCCCTCCCCCCCCCCCCCACTGTTGTGGAGAAAAGCACCAGAAGGGGTTAATGGCTTCTCTGCAGTTTGTTCCCAACCCAGATTGAAGTGCGCCCCATTTCGGTTTCCAGAAACCTCTCGTAAAGCATTGATTCACAACAACAACCACCATTCTCCACTAAGTGTCGGTAACGTCACCACGGCGCTTGTGCCAGGCTATGTGGACGTTAAGGCCACGTGAAGTGTTGAACGCCCATTGGCAGGAATTCACGGGACAGACCCAGGTGCCATGGGTTGCCTGATTGAGATGACTAGCCGATGCACAACCTATGCCCCCCTACTGTGTCAACTTACTGTGCTTTAGCCACCTGGCACTCTGCTCGTAGTTGTGAGCATCGCTCCTCTGTCCTCCATTGTTGCTGGAGGGTAACTGCCTCTAACTGCTCCGTAGTGTCCTTCACAAGCCTCTGATTCACACAAACGCACGTGGCCGTGTGTGTTGCAATATTTGCTTTAAGACGCGCGTGCGCACACACACAAAAACACCCCGTCGGCAAAGATCTCCACCCTAACAATGGCTTGTGCCGCAGTCTTTGCAATGACATAATTGAGGCACGTAAAGAAAATGCATAATTTGCCTAATTTGCTCATTTGAAATACAATAGAGAGAGCTTATAATGAGTCACTGCTCAAGTGCTGTTTGAAAGGGGTGCAGAGCAGACAAGTAGGTGGGGAATTTGGGCCGGCCTAAAAAACCGCGTGCCCTACTTACACTGCTCACAGCATCTTGAACCCATTGATGGTCTATTTTAATTGTCACATAATGAGTAGTCATCTTTCCAAAATAATGCCCTCATGGGAATTCACTGGGGGGGGTAGGGGGTTTGCTTTGACCATGGGGGGGGGGGGGGGGCAGGCTAATCTGGCCACTCCACCTGCACCAATGGCCAACGCAAGTTCGCCAAACCCGTTGTGTGGTCTTGAACAAGACGACAGAATGAAACTGATAAATGTTAACATCCTCTAAAAGGGAAGAGGTTTTTTTTCATTGCTTAAAAATAAACAAGTACTTGGTTTAAATAATGTAGTTGTGTGCACATTGTACGGTTTTAACAGAAATGATACGGATAATGCTCTCAATGGGACTGACCTTATTAAATTGCTCACAAACTTGGTCTCCAAGGGAGAGACATGCTGGAGAGATGAGAGGCGAGTGGTGTTTAAAGATGACGTTCATTGGAAATTATGTCCGAATATGATACTTTCCACATGACCAGTCATAGCAAATGAAGGCATTTCAGCCTTTGCTAAATATTTTAATCCACGTAGGGTAGTTATGTAACACAAAGTCACAACGTGCCTTAAATAAATTCACAACTTGAACATATGGCATATTGTTTAACGTTGCGAAAACATTTCAGGAATAATTTTCGTGCACAAAAATTAAACGTGCAACCGCAAACAATTGCACTTTTTTTTAAACGTTTCAGTATTGTAAACGACGATCAAAGCACTTTGTACGAAGTATTGTCAGCGCGGAAACAAATGAACACGTTACTTTCCTTTAAACTCATCCTGCTCTACAGTGTCACTTACCGCAACTACCGCAGAAGCAAAAACGGTTGATGTATGTGCCTGACATCGTATGTAATGTGTGCTCCAATTGCAAGAAAAACCCCTAGGGGAAAAAAACCAAGTTGAAATAATTTACCCACAATACATCCAGATTCTGTTGTCTACGAGTATAACTATACAGGGAATGGCAGCAGGGAAAGCTAGGCAAGCTTAGAGCAAAAATTATACTTGCCACATTTTAAAACACACACGTTCAAAAGATTATCTGCAGCACGGCATTTAAAAAAATGAAGCTTATTAAATAATACCCGTTACAATAACCCTTCTTATTAACCCCTGAGCCCAATAACCTATTGGCATTTAAAAACGAATATTCCTATTGAAAAAGATCAGTACCTTCCAAAGGTGTATATATATGCTACAGCCATTTAGCTTTCCCAGGACACAATGCAAGAATGCATGCCAATACTACAGCCATTTTCTGAATTTCATATTTGTCTTAAAGCGTTGCTGTTTCAAATCAACAATGCCATGCTTCATTTTCTACTTGCAAAGTTAAATGGTCACAAGTTTGCAAAGTGTCCAATTGTGGAAGAATTAATATTGCCAAGGAAAGTTCGGATCCAACCGGTACATTCAAACACACACGCAATATATAATACAGGTGACAGCAGGGCAACTAACACAATTTAAACATCGTAAAATGTTATATTAGGAATGAAATGAATGTAAAAAAAAACCGTTTGTTTATACATGTGTAGATCATATATAGGATGCTGCATTATTTCTTTGTTGGTATATCCAGAGTTTTTTTTACATGTTTACTTGTACTCTCTGCATCAATAAACCTTGACTTGGGAGTTAGATTTTTGGTCTATTAAAATGGTAAAACAACTTTCTCAAAACAGAAAAGACTCGAAGCCCGAGCTGATAAGCTTTCCTCAAGGGGGTTACTTTACGTTATAATTTATCCGCGTGGAAAACATGTTTTTGGCTTTTATTTTATAAAATAATTTGGCTTTTCTTTTCGTAACAAAAATACTTGCACAAATATTGAACTTATTTTGCACCGTACGTAGCCAACCGTGCTAATCGGAGGTGCAGGAGAAGGACAACGAACTGAAACCACAACAACAACCAGTGCTAAAAGAAATGTATAAAAGGCTTGTTTTTTTTGTTAACTCTGTTGATCATCGGAGGGTGAAACACGCACGTCCTTGTGCGTTCTCGATCATCGGAGCTCATATTCTTGAGTGACCATGCATCAGTCAATAGTTGACAAGCCGCCCGACTGTACCGAATTCCCAGGCCAGCGACTGATCACTACAGACACATTTTGCGATAAACTGCAAAAGACACGCGCGCGCGACAGACGTGGGCACAACGGCGGAGCATCGGACATTTAATCTGGATCTGCAAATCGCGATTGGAAACGTCGTGTAACTGGACGATCGCTTTATGCCAGCGGATTCAGAATCCCTGCGTCCAGCGCCCGGGGGTTATAAGTGGCTGTTTGGCGTTCCTTGAATAACCCACATCACCGTCATAACAAAAAAAAAAGACCGTAGAACTCAAAAGAGAAAACCAAACTGTTGTCGAAAATACGCGTGTTCAGTTTAACGCCATAAACAGTAACCAACTGATA